CATACAACAGCAAGTAGTTCTAATTCGTTCGTACTGTACTTCTGTTCTGCAGAATTTAAATATCTCGGGATAAAAGCGATAGGAAACCTTTTTTCTGGTTCTAGCTACTGCTCCAATGCGGCGCCTAGTACTATTTTGAAGCATCGTAGTGATACATTTTCGGTATTTCGGTGATTCGTGCCAAAATGTTTGGGAATGCCGTATCTGCTTGGTTGCTCCAAATAATTTTTTCCTTGTTGCTTGCTTTTATTGATGGTCGTAGAGGTTCTGTGTGCAAATGGAGATTCGGTATAAAACGGTACATGTAGTTCAGAACACCCATGAAGGACCTAAGTTGCTTGAGCGATTTCGGCGGTTGCAAGGTTAAAACAGCTTCTATCTTTGAGTGTTAGCGTTTAATAACTGTGCCTATTTGGAAAGCCCAGCCAAAATAGGTTGGTCTTTGAGAAATCGCATTTGCTTTGTTTGAGTGCAAATTCTTCCTTGTACAGTTTTGTAATTAATTGTTCAACTATCTCATTGTGTTTTGAAAATGATCCTTTTTAAACTATTAAGATGTCATTTAAAAAAAACAAAATACTCCTTGTATGCCTAGAATTGTGTTGTCCATGGCTTTCTTGAACTCCTTTGGCATGTCTGTTAGACCATAAACTTTACACATGCGATGCTGAAGTTACTTAGTTTGCTTACGGAATCATCTAAAGGTAATTGACTGAATGCAAACTTTAAATCGAGGGAAGTGAACCATACTTTGCCTTCTGATTTGGATGTAATTATTTGGGCTGCTGAGTCCAGTAGTTCTAATAGATTCGGCATCTGAGTTTTGTTCTTGTATATTTGGGAATTCATTGGTTTCGCATCTATCGCTAGCTTTACCGTGCCATCTTTCTCAGCGGTGATTATTACCGGAGCTACAAATTGATCGCTTGCGCACTTCTCTAGCTTCATGATATGTTCCTTCACGATCAGTTTTTAAAATTCCGCTCTAACCTTAGCTTGAATGTGGATGGGCTCCCTTTTCCTTGAAAAGGAATTAACGTTGACTCGAAAATTGTGTACACTTTTTGATTCTTGGAGGGACCCAATATTTGAAATACATTGCCGAGTTATTGATGAAAAATTTCTCTCACAGGCGTTTCTCATCTGATTGTTGCTCATTTTCCGATATTTTTTTATTGTGTTCGACGGTGGTTTCAATTGGGTTGTGATTTTGCCTAACTCTGGCTGGAGGTCTAGTCCTAACAGACACCTAGTCATGTGTCCTGATACTAGGTACCTTGCACCCTTGATTCTCCACCCTTTCCAATATATGTCTATCACTAATGTTCCAAACAGTTTGATCGGATTTTTATTGTAATCCACATATGCTGTTTTGATAGGATTTTGGCTTAAGGAAACTCTCTTTGCATTCGAGTCTTTTGCTATTTGTTGTTTGTTTATTTGTAAATTTGTTGTTTGTTTATTTACGAAGGACGTGGCCTTCCAGTATCTATTGTTGCACTGAATCGAGATCCTTTCGCTTTCAATGTAGTTCTTAGACATTTAGTCTTCCCAGTGGCTGAGTTTATTACTTCCAGATTCCTGACTGATTCCGTCTGGAATGAAGCTTTAGTGATTCTAAGTACTGAATAATTTTCTTCGCTGTTCGTGTCGACAATGTTACAATCTTCTTCTTCTTGTTCTGGAAGTTCGACTATTGCCACCTGTGATCCTTCACATTTTTTACTACCCTTTTTACACATTTTTTACTAGGTGACCCCATTTTTACTACATCCAGGGCACGTGACGCCTCGAATTGAATTGTATTTTGGTGTGAACTTGTTTCCACAGAAATCAAACGGTTTAGAATGGCCACCAGAAACGTTGGTTTTTGATTTTGGTTTAAAAATCATTTTCTTGTGCTCTCTTCATCCTACTCTGTACGTTGTTTTTGGTTTGGATTGACATGAGAGGTTCTAACCCTAAAATGATTTGTGAAATTAGCCGAATTGTTTGATATTGACGGGTTCTTTTTTGAGGGCGTTGGTTGTGACAAATCTATTTTCCTGTAAACGGGCATATTTTATGTATCGTCGACTGTGTTGGCGGGTCGTGTACATAGTTCTCTCTGAATGTGTCAAAACCGCATTTTGGCTATTAAAATGTCATTTTCAACGTCCTCAGTCCAACAATTTTTTGATGCTTGTCCTGCTAATCTGAGATAAAAAAAATAAAGACCTTCTCCGTCACCGCGTGATGAGTTATAAAGCTGCATCCTTTCGATAAGGTAGTTTTTTCTCACATTTGCAAAGCTGTTCGCAAGCAACGTGAAAAAAAACTGAATGTAACTGAGTTGAGATTGACGTGTGCAAATTGCTGAAGGAATCTCTTCTTCCCTTCGTTACCCATGGCAAAGAATAGGCAAAATTTTATTCTTTGCTTCTGCTTCGTGAAAGTAGACGTTTGAACTTATTTTGGGTCCCTTCTTTTATCTTTCTTTAGTTGCTTCGTTGGTTTTCCGAACCGCCGCTTCGTTTCTTGCAATTCTCGTTTCTTGCTATTCTCGCAAAGGAAGAAAGCTAACGAAGCGGAAACAAAGGCAACAACCCTTGAACAGAGTCAAGTTGATCCGGAAAAAAAATTTTATACAGAGGCGAAGCGGAGCTTCGCACCACTCGCGATACAACACAAACATAAAAAAGTCAAAAAAAATTAAATGTTGAAAAATTTAGGAGAACCAAAATTCTCGTATGTCTCGATCAAAAAAATACAACAAAGGGCCCATCTTAAGCTGGAGGTAAGAGCTTGATACTGAAAGAATTTTCTATACACAACGCACGAAAAAGTGATTTCAAATTTTAAACTTTGCCCAAAACCTTAGTTGTTTCTCTAGTAATTTTGAGATAATCAATTTTCCCAAGGATGTAACATTTCTTTTACTAGAAATAAAAGAGTCACCGCTTCCGTAGGAATAGTTGTCGCAACTGGTTTTTTCAGTTGAACGCTTTATCTCAAATTTGATTGGGTAATTAATTATTAAGAAAGTTCAAAAAAATTGTAAAAAAACGGACGAAAGTTCTAAAAAACGGTCAAAAGACTTCCAAAACCCATTTCGATCAAAAAGCAGGTTGTGGCCAATTATGCAGAAAAGATTCCCAAAACCCGATTTCTCTATTAAACATAGCCTGAAAAGTGGCAGGGTAGTTTTCGCGTAAAGCCAAAAAATTTCCAAAAAACTGTCTAAGTTTCAAAATTTTCACTTGTTTGATGGCCATAACTCTTTTTCTTAAACAAACTGGGCATGATTAGTTATAAACGTAGGCCAACCTATAATTTCGATCAATTCTATGATATCAAATTTGATGAAAAGGTAGCGAGAAAAGTCCAAAAAACGGTTAACAAAACGGAGAAAAGTCCAATAACGGTCATCATTTTTAAAACGCCATGTCCTATAAATGTAAATTTTTGTGTAAAAAACAGCGGAGTCACTCACGAATAAAGAAATTAAGCAACCTATAATTTCGATTGAACCCAAAATGTCCGATTTAAGAGGGTAGCTTTCGATTAAAAAAAGTCTAAAAAAACGGTCAAAAAATCATAATTTCCAAGGGCCATAAATTTTTGGTGTGAAGTCGCATAACCAAATGAGATTTCCACAACCCTTTCGTTGAATTGAACCCAAAATCTCAGATATGGCAGAAAAGTTTTCGAGAATATTCTAAAAGTTTGAAAAACGGTCAAAAAATTACAACTTGATTTTTCCGAGGGCTATAACTTTTTGTGCAGAAAAACTTTGCGAGCGGCCGCTAATGCAGGGGAGCTGCTCAGTGCCCATTAACTCCCTTGAACCCACAAAATCAGATTTGAGAAATCAGTTCCCGAGAAAAGTCAAAAAGAATCAAACTGTCAAAAATCAAAAAGGAACCATAACTTATTAAGTAGAAAAAAAAGTGCATAGCCGCTTATGCAGGAGAGCTGATGAAAAATAGGCCAAATTATTTTGGATCGAGGAATTTTTTGAGCGAAACAAAAAAAAACAAAGAAGGAAATACATAGTCAAGGTAAGTAAAACTACATATTGTAGGAGCAAATCAAACACTAAAAGCAACATTGAAGAAAAATGCACGCAGCAAAAAAAAACGATTCCAAGATATGACAAACTAACCAACAAGAAATAAGCAGACAAATAATTGGCCGACAATTTTATTTGAAACAGAATACTTCCCGTTTGTAAAAAAAAACAGGTCCTTCTCAGATTCGAACACAGGAGGTCCTTTGCCGTCCAAGGCATAATCGTTGCCTACAGGCTAAAGTGGCTGGGAGCACAAAGAACTTTGAATTCATTATGAACCAAGACACATATGATTCAAATGATTCTGTTAAACAATTTGTTAACCGGAAAAAAAACGTCTAGATTCCAGTTTGATATTGCTTGCTAATCGCAAGCGTAAAAAATGTATAAAATATGAAGTCTCCCCTGAAACTACAATGAGCAACACTTGCAAAATCAACCAAATTTGCTAGATGTGGCAACACAACGGAAGAAAACTTACGAAAGGAAACAAAGCCGACAATCTTTTAACAGACACCAGTTGAGCAAAAAAACTAATAAAATATAAACAATAATAAACAATGAAAAATACTTGCACTTGCAACTATAAAAATATTTGCTTACAGAACAAGCAAAATCTGTGATTGGCAGCTAAGCCCACAAAACTTGAGCAGACTCGAAAGTCCGTCAGTTCAATTTTTACCGGAAAAGATTTTGAATTCCATAATATGAAATCAAAAGATCCGGCCGGGACACGAACCCCAGACCTTAGGGTGAGGTAGCGGCGCAAAGGCCGAGTGCGAAGGAATCTAGATGTTGCTAAGGTACAAAAATAAAGCTGGTTGAAGATTTGTAAGAAAAGTTGTTAAAGGGAAAAGGCTAGTTTTCGATTACACGACACTTGCTCTCGCAAGTGTCATTAAAACATTCGATTAGGATTTGAAAAAATGGCAAAGCTCAGATAGATTACTTCAATCAAGTCTTCAGCCTCGTTGTCTTTAGTAATGAGGCAGCGGCCAGTCGCATTTGAGACGATAGAACCTGAGTTTCTGTTCAGGAAGAAGCGCTGCCTGGGTTCACTTGGGTCTGCATTTTCCATGCTGAAATCAAAATCAGTCAACTTTTGTTTGATGTGTAATTTAGCTTCGATTCTTTACTTTAGAAAAAAACATCAAGCAAAAAAACGTATTATATCCTAACTTTTTCTTTGAATCAAGGAAAATAAGCTGATTGGAAATAATTCAGGCAGTAAAATAAATCTTATAACAATTTGTGACTTAAACGGAATATTTCGGAATACTTTGAGTTGAGTACTGTTATTTTATAGCCAACCAAAACATTAAAAAATTACCATTTGTTTCCTATATTTACACAAAGATTTTAAAAATTGGTCAAGGTTCGGAGTTGCAAACTGCATTTTGAACACTTGAAAAATGAGCGTGAAGGTTTGTCCAAATCGAGGGTACTTATAGCCTTGCCGCAGTGGACTGAACAGCTTGGGAGCTTGGTTGTTGTTCGTTGCTCTCATTGATATGTAAAAGTTTCTCACGTGATTTTGCCCTTTTTGTCATCTTCGACCTCCAGAGCCAAGCTTGGGTTACTAGTGGACAGGATCATGACAATATCGTACAACATGGGTTCAGATTCTCGCTGAGTACTCTGCAGAAGCTCTTCCGCAATTGCATCCAGATTCTTCGCCAGGATCAGTTCGAAGTCGTTCACGTGTCCCAACTCCTCTATCTGGGACCCGCAAAAAACCATAAATTGTTTTTATTTTGCGCTAGCATTCCCCCAATTGATCAACCCAGGAAACTCTGCCCCATTAGGTTATTGTTTCACCACTAACCACGGCGTGGAAGGAACTATTGTATATCGCAACTGTCGCGTATCGCAAAAAGCGTTCCAAGAAAGTTATATAAGCAAACATATCTTTATGATGCCAGATGACGTTTAAACTTGACTGCAATGCATCAAATTTCTCAGTAGAAGAGCGAGATAACCATTTGCAAATTGCAGAGTATGTTTAAAAAACCCGAAATCTCGTTTTTTTTTTGAAATTCTAAACTAATAAAAAATGCCAAGACCCTTTTGCCGTCAGAGAACACACGCACACAAAAACTTTTTCAGACGTAACGACGCAATAAGAGGCCACTAAGTCGATATCAATTAGGCTGAAATTTATTAAGCCGATAAAAAAGACGAAAAAAGAGAAATTTTAACAAATCGAGCTGATTAAATTACAACCAATGTGAGAAGCAAATTTCCACTCGGCCTTGGTTTTAAAATGCTAAAAACAACTGCAGTTAAAATTGTTTACAGCTAAAATGAACGATTCTTAGATGTGGCAACTAAGCCGATAAAACATAAGCAATCAAATAATAGGCCGAAATTTTTTTAAGCCTGAACAATTACCATTTGAAAAAAATTGGTCCTGGTAAGATTCCAACCCAGAACCTTTGCCGTCCTAGGCGTATTCGTTTCCACCAGGCTCAGCGTGCAAGATAAACTACAATTTTGAATTCATTTCAAATGGTTGGAACAACAAGTTCTTTCCGAAACTTTCAGAACAACATTTTTTGATTTGATAGCACTTCAGGCCTGCTAAAACCCAGTCTACCAGCCAATATGGTTATCATCCTTACTATATGCAAGAAAGCAAAAAAATCAGTTAAAAAAATTGATCGGAACAAAATGGAAAAGATTGCGCACAAACTCACAAATCTAGCAATTAACTGCACCAAAAAGTAGAATGATTACATTCGATCGTTCCTCAAAAGGAAAAAGTAATCACAGCTAATTTTCAACGAGCATACAGAAACAGTTGAAAATTACAACAAAAAAATTAAAGGTTCTGATCAATCTCAATTAAAACGAGCAAATATTGATTAAAAAAACATAGCAGTAAAAAACCAACTGAATTAAAGCCGACACCCAATAACCTGAAATTTCATCAAGCATTTGCTCCCAAAAAAATCCACCGTGTAAGATTGCATAAAATACAAACCAAAAGAGCTTGTAACATCTACAAGCAAACTTTTGAAAATTGGTAACATTCATTTTCTCCGGCCATTTTGTTTTCAAATTTGTTTATTTATGGGAAAGAAAGTCTAGTTTCTGGCAAAGAAATCGAAAAGGTGATTTTATCCCAAACGCTCTTTAACTTTACTATGATATCTGTTCCCAGAATAATTATGGATATAGTGCTACAAAGAAAACATTGGACTCGTTTCATTTAGTTACCTCAGGTAGGGTTGAAAGTCGGAACTTGTTGAAGTTGCAGAGGGTGACCGAAGGAAATTGCACAGAGGTCTGCAAATCCATCGAGATGCTCAAAGATGTGGGGTAAGTTAAATAATCCATAACCAGGAAGTAGGACTGGAAAAATACATCGTACGTTTCCCTTTTTTGGTTGAATTTAATAAAATCTAAATGAGGTTATCTAACCTGGTACACAAAAGCTCCTATTGAGCACAATGTAAACATAGTCCAAGCGATCTTTCTAAATTGAGTCGGCGACTCTATCGCCCTAGGAAACCCGTGCGCACTGCAATCCAAGAAACAGTTTCTTATGAAGAACAAGTACGTCAGTGATTCTTCGCCATTTGGCGGAGGGGGTTCGGGAGGAGCATTTGGAACATAAGGTGGTAGGGGCGGGTTCACAGAATCCATGTCATCACAGTCGCTTTCTTTGCTGTCATGCAAATTGCCATCATCGTTTTTTTCTTCAATGAGCTCATCAATATCAGTATTGGATCTGGGCAAAACAACTACTTCTGGCGTTTCATTATCTCCTAAATCAGCGAGCGATTTCGATCGCGAAAAGTTTGCAACATTTGCTTTTGAGACATCTTTTATTGCCTCATCTGAAGCGTTGCCATTTATAGAATTAACATTTTCCGACTTGTCGTTTTCAATCATCTCCACTGTGTTATTATTGCTCTCATCCTCGTCGTCCAGATCCTTATCGAAGTAGTCGACTTTACAGCTCGATTGGTCAGCTTCGTTGTCGGTGTCGGCACTCAAAACGTCTTTGTGCTCGTTGTCAATTTCGTTCCACCAACTGATTTGACGATCAGCCTTGACGCCTAATCCAAATTATACCTCATCTTAAACCGCGTTTGGAACTTTTTGTGTACTAGCTTTGCTTATAAACATTTTAAGTTATCTATTGATCTATGAACTCCTTTTTGCAATTTAGCATTCAGAAGGCAATATTTTTCATTAGTTTTCCTTGTCAATCAAGTTTAATTTTTTAAACTTACCATGAAGATGTTCAGAATCAGATTGCGATTCTCTGCTCTTCGGTCCTTCTTTTGTCTTTTTGTGATCAAATGTAACATTAGGTTTTTTATTCTTATTTTTTGAATTTTTCATTTTTTTGTCGCTATAAATTCACAATAAAAGACAGATTATCCTGTCCAAATACCCATCGTATCAAAAAATGAAAAAAATAAAATCAGATCAAAAAATGGCGAGAAATCCTGTTATTGTTCTGACTTTCCAAATAGTTAGTCAATTAGTTTGTGTTCCGATAAAAATTTGCTTAATCAGAGAATAGAAAGAGAAAATAAGTAATTGCTAAAAGGTCTTTTAAAAATCAAAAGTTCAAAAGGATGTTAAAAGTTGAAACATACTCTGGACATCTGTCCAAACTACAGCAAACAAATATAGTCGGAAATATTGAATAATTCAGACAATTCAATCTATGAATTCAAAAGGTGGAGAAATCCAGATAAATCAAGCTTTTTGCAGTTTATGATAAATCTTGAAAATATAATGTTGACGTTTTCGGAATCAGAAAAAATACATGTATTTTATAGTTATTTATGACCGTTTAATGAAACAGAATGATGTCGACCAATTTTGGTTGAAAATCAGCTGCTTACTTCCGCTATTGTAATTAATAGGTAGATTGTCTAGTGCCAGAAAACTTCCTGGCAAATATCTAAGATCAACATGATGCTCAAAAATGATCCAATGAATAAATTATTTCAAAATTTCCAAGGAAGAAAAAAAATGATTCATCAAAGTCCACACAGAGGCGAATCGGAGCCAGAAAATTCAATATTAAATTAGCAACGGAACCAATCTTACGAAGAGGAAACAAAGCCCACAACCATTCAGCAAAACAATGATTTAAAAAAAAAATCTTTGAAGTTTTAAATCCCTCCTGAAATTACAATCAACAACACTTGCTCTTGCAACTAAAATGAAAACTGCTTATAGCACAAAAAAAATGTGATGTTGTAACTACGCGTACGCCAAATCTTAGAGCAGACCCAAGTTGTTTTTTAAAAAAATGGTTTTCTATATTTTGTAAAAAAAAAACTTGAGCCCACTGAAACTAAAAAAAAAAACAACACATGCATCTGCAACTAAAAGAAAGAATGCTTCCACAGTAAAAGTCAACTTAGGCTGACAAAAATTGAGCAGACAAACGAAAGTCGGATAATTCAATTTTACCGAAATTTTTTTGATTGCACACAATCTAAAAAAAACACCGTCCGAACGGGAATTAATCCCCAGACCTTAGGAGCAAAGACAACGTTAACTGCCGGGCAAGTGAGAAGTAGCCTGTTAGTAAAGAGGTTCAATAATAAAAAGCTACCTGAAGACTTGTGAGAAAAAGTTAAAGTTCTGTTTGCCAGTTCCTCTTCTTGGAAGCGCTCTGCCGAGTTCGTGATTTCCAGCAGCCACAAGACCAGGGTAAGCAAATACTGGCGACTAGACTATTTCGCACCTAAGACGGTTCACGATTTATAACTCAAATCATAAAAACCTTCAATTCCAATTCCCTTACAACACCCTCCCGATTTTTAAACAATTTTAACGTTCAACTCACCCACGTCACACAACAATTTCAAACGAAATCGTCCTAAGATTCAGAAAAGCTTGAACGATTAAACGTTAAAAAAATGGCACGTCCATCTCGAGCGTTCCATCTTAATGGACTTACAGCCATTCGTTTGAAGAATCTCAAAACTATTGCTCTAGAAAATCTCACTAAACTCGTAAACTTTACTTTACGTGCTTTACAAATCCCATCCAATTGAAAACCAGCTAGCAAACTTCCTTTTGCTGGCTGGTTTTGGTTCCTTTAGCTGCCGTCAAATCCCAAACAGATTTTACACTTTAAAAATATCGCACTATTTCCTTATTCAATCCAGTCATCAAAATTGTTCACGCCTCACTCTTCTAACTTAACACCTAGAACTTAAGACACCAAACACGGCTTCCACTCCCTGCATTCCACCATATGCACCTTAAGTTACCTAAAAAACCTTTACACAAAACTGCTCTTGCAGCCCTAGATATATCAAAAGCTTTCAACTACGTGAGCAATCACACCTTACAAAGAAATTGAATTGATTGACAAACTCTTCACTGGTCAATCCTATCACCCGCTGGCTAGACATTTTCCTGAGCGTTGTTCAAACCGATCTTATTTAGTGATAATCTTTTATAAGCGACAATAGTGCAATGCGGAGTCACTCATGACTTGCTTTTTTCCCAATACTTCGCAGTTCTATGCGTGAAATTCCCCTCTACCCGAAAAAATAACCATTATATCTTACGCTGGCAATTTCAAGGTCTACAGCCAAAGCGCCACTATCGAAACTCTATCGTTCTCGCTCTCTACATACCTACTCTATCTACACTTTCTTCAGAAAAATTAACTTGGAGTTTATTCCATCCAAATGCTCTGTAACCCTATTCTAACCTGACTCAAACAATACTGAACCTGTTTTGGAGTTAAAATTATGAGCATTCTTTTCCCGCAGGATCACATCCCCAAAATCAAAGGACTCAACTAAGACCTATTTTTGAATTACACTCTACACTGCTAAGCTTAAGCTATCAATGGCAAGAAGCGTTCTAAAAGCCCCATTCGGTATCAACTCTGACCTAGCAGGGAATGCCACTAAATACGCTTAAAGCAATTATTAGATTATTAAAAAGATTATTAGGAATACCCTGCCCCTGCCACTTGATTGAACTGGTGAACTCTAACTAGTAAATTAACAGGGGAGCAAAAATTCATCACAAAATAATTCACAAACGACAGGTTTTCAACTACATCAAAATATACTTTGTACCCAAAACTCTCACCGAAAACCCCCAATAACCTCCACCACTTAACTCTTAGCCAGTAAACAAGCCCATTTCAGCCTGCGTTGGTTTATCTTTTTTATTTCCCACCTTAACATACTCAAGTCAGGTATCGAAGAACGTTCAAAAAGCTTCAATACCCAACATGACACCAACCACTTTCTTCAAAAACCGAACACCCATTACACTCAATTCATTTACACTCTGGTCCAGTACAATTGAGGTTCTGCCTTCCTCAGGCTAGATCAACCCTCAAACACATCAATTGAGCTCGCTCCTGATGGCCAGTGCTAACGAAACACTGACTCAAATATTCGGGCTGTTAAACCAAAACTGTTTTTCTGTTTGGTGTTCTGCAGATACGATGGACACAAAATTAGACACTAACACCATAGCGCTGCTAAACTTCTCTCATTTGATGAATTCTTGATCCACCGAAACGGCCGTGCCAAACAGAACCACTAGACATCTCAGTTAATGGAATAGGGGCTCTTTTTTACCCGATGCAATCAGGCGGAGTAGACTTGGAAGGGGCCACAAAACGAACACTGGAAAAACCAAAATCAAGCAATCATGGTCATACTAATACACTAGGCTCATAAGCTAGCTTATGAAAAAAGGCATCAACTGTGTTATCTTAATCAAGATTCAAAACACATGCTATTAAATAGCCAATTCAGCATACCGCTGTAAAAATGTCACAAAAAAGCATTGTCTGCGAATTAGGTTGAAAAAAGTAGCCTCGTAGTATCAAACTACTCTCCGCGAGCAACTAAACGAGAATATCTTCTCATTGGACAAGAATCACAGAAAGTTCCGGTCGACCTTTTTTCCTAGTGACTTTATAGGACGATGAGTAAAGGTTGTTAAATAAGGCCTCAAAAGTGCGTATCATTAGATAACTTAGCTTAAAGAATCACATTACCCTTTGCTTGCTGATTAAATTACGCTAATGATATTCTAAAAGCGATGATTTCAAATCTCATGGTGTTTTCTGGCGACATAGCGAATATATTTCACAAATTCTCTTTCTAGATTTTCTGCAAAATGAAAAATCTAAAAATTGCTCTCAAAAAGTAGATAGTTATTTCTCGGAAAACCTACGTCCACGCCTGCTTCAATTCTTCACTCAATGACAAAAACTTTTTTCACAGTAACTAATATATTGATACCAAATTTCATTTATCATTACCATAACTCATTAGCGAAATTTATTACGAACATTAAATAGAATTTTGACGTGATCATATTCAAAGTAAACACTAAAATTGAATCAACAAAGTTAGTTGTGACTTTTCGACAATTAAGTGACACTCCTGATGAATTTACTGACTGTTTCTAGTTTTGTATTTGAATTTTTTCTCTTCATTTCAAATGGCAACCACGAGATCAGCTAATCAGCGGCTAAATTCAAGCAGTCGTACCTACGTATTAAAAAGAGCGAGCGTTCACCAAAATCATTCGCCTAAGAGCGAACGCCTAACTAATAATATTGTTTTCACTTGGAAAATAAATAGGCGGAATTTGACCTTATTTTTTAATCCATACTTTCGCCGAGAAAAAGTTCAAAATTCGCATTCGGTAATATTTGTCTAGCGCTTAAGTTTGCAGATCGCACTTCACATTGAAATTGATGACGAGTGAGGAATTTCTGCTTGAATTTATTCTAACTCTGTTCCAAATTTGATATCGGAACTCCTGGACTGTTACCCGAACTGTTCTTAGTACTCTCATTCTGTGCTTTGCATCGAATGAGAGAGAGGTCTGCCTGTCTCTTACAAACAGCATCCACCTCTTCCGCCATTCGTCTGCAAATAGCCTCAGTGTCCGCCTGAAATACCAGTTAACCATTTAACGACTTCTTAAATTACATAAAAAGAACCCCCAAATACTTGGACCGTAACACAGATATGTCTTCTGGTTAACAGCTCTTGTCCAAAATTTCCATAAAAGAGAGAGAGAGAGAGAGAGAGAGAGAGAGAGAGAGAGAGAGAGATTCCCCTCCCATTCATTATCTCGACTCCCTCCTCATAACGGTTGCAATGCGAGAACCCACTGGAAATTACTACACATATGCAAACTGACCATAGTATTTTTAGTTGCTGGCCTTGCTGAAACAAAATGCTGACTGCGAGAGTTTCAGCACTTTTTAAATAAGAGCAAAAAATTTAACCGTGTCCTGTGCTTCGCTGAAAAGAGACTTTAAGCCGTATAACCTGGATCAAGACAAACCACCCAGAACGCAACAGCACATTAGTCAACTTTATTGAGGCAAAAGACAAGTTTGAAGCAAAAGTCAGAAGCTGTGTATATGATTGTGAAAGCATCTCAAAATAACTTGGCGATAAAAATGAACGGAGAAGCTCTCATCAAGCTCTGCAGAAATAACCACTAGTAGCTTAATTACATAACAAAGAAAAAAACAATTTTGCCATTTCATTTAAAATGAAAAACAAAAAAGGTCTCTTTATGAACTAACCAGTCTGAAAGGCGAAAACGTCAAAGCAGTTTTTATCTCATCACTGAGAAAACTTGTGAAAATTTTCCAATTGCAGCTCGAATAATAACTGAAAAGACTTCAAAATGGTATATCAACACCACTTCATTTGACGTTTATTTTAGGTATCTGATATGATGTGAAAAAAAAACACAGCTTAATCCCAAAGAATCTATAAGCTCAGATTCACAATAATGAAAGGGCACACTTTTCATACCTTGCAAAAACTTGGCCAGGAACCCAAAAACTAACTCAAAAACTGTTACTTCAGGAAAAGTTCGTAAAAGGTGGCGCAACTGCTTCAGCCATAAGCCAGTTCCTACATTATTGGCCGCTGACGGGTTATCTAATGCTTTAAGAGTTAAAGTGCCCTCACCTGACTTCTGGCTAGTTCTGCTCTTTCTTCTACCGTCATGCTATCGTGTCCCTTCTGGAAACAGAGCAGAAATTCTTTGGTCAATTTTGCACACTAAACTGAGTCAGACAATTTCAACCGACAACCTATTTTCATTGTAGAGCAAGTTTATCAAAAGTTTGATAGCACTTAGTAACTTCCTTTTGATTAAAGGGGAAATTTAAGCAGGTTTAAATGTTATAAAAGTCTACTTATATTTAAGAACCAGAAGGATTGCCTAGAAAAAAACCACGTGCAAAGAGATTCGGATTCGAAGTACATGCCCAAAATTTGGAAAACAAAACTGCCTCATTTTGCAGATTCAACAACGGTTTTGTAAATTTGCAACATTCAGATTGAGGCACATTTTTGCACACATAAAAATCAGGTCATAGATACATTTTTCATTGATTTGACCTTAATTTACAATCTAAAATTAGTTTCAAGTTACGCTTCAGTCTCAAAAAAAGGCTTCAAACACCTGAATAAAACTGCAGCTCTAGCTGTTTACCATTTTGAAGTCAACAGTGGCACCATCTAACTCGACTGCCACCTGGTGGACCAGCTGTGCCTTCTGTGCCTCTTTACTTGCCACCACTTTCCTCAAACTCAGAATCTCCAACACCAGCTGTTCTTTCATTTCTAATTCACTCTTCCGCAGAAACTCGTTCCACACAGCTGTGTCTTCAGATAGCCACACGCTTTTGCTAACATCGCTACCTTCATTTCCACTTTGATGGTCATTTGGTTTCGCTGCTACATCCAGTAGTGACCATTTAATAATATTGTATTTGGTTATTAATACTTGTTTTTCAACTCTTTCTCAAAACAATTGCGATCCAACTTAACTCTATGACATTACAAAAGTAGAACCAGCTAGTGATCGAAAAGACAGCGAGTTGTATTTTCAAACAAGTTGAGCCGATTTTTTTTGAACTGCAAACTGAAAATTTATGTTGTCTATTGAGGAGAAGGAGCATCAATATCAAAGTAAAGTAATTTTCAAAACTTCGAAGCATTTCAAGGTTAGACAAGAACCCGAGGTTCCAGGGCTTCGACTCCTCGCCAAACAAAGGGTCCCCCTTTGATATTAATTTATTATATCCATTTTCGGCCGACCAACCCAATTGGTTCGCAAGTTCTTTTATAGCTTGAATCACATATGAAAGATCTTCAATATGACATATAACTTAGCCTTAGATTGTATGGCATGTCTTCGTCGAAACTGATTTATCGTGGAAAAAAAACACCTGTACAGTTTCTCTCCTCTAAACCGCTCAAAATTGAGAAAAAAAACAGAATCAAGTTCATTAAAAAACACCTCTTAAATTTACTAATACAACACTTAGATAAAAAAAACACGCTAAATTTAATGTTAACACAAAAAAGCAAAACCATTGGATCAAAAATCCGGACAAAATTCCTTTCAAACACATTAAAATTTTGAAAGCTTGAAAATTCGAATAAACTTCAGTGTCAAACATGCTTAAATGTCCTAGGATGACTGACAACTAAAAAAAATCTTCATAACTAACATTTGATAATTTTCAAAGTTCTTAACTTACAAGTTTTTATGTGCAAGATTTTTCAAAGCAAAAGCATGGCTAGAAATCAGCTAAACGAAAACAAATGCAAAAAATTACGCCATTTATTATACAAAATATCTAGCTATTAAATTTGAATCTGCCACCTATTGTTTTGTATCGCCATAAAGTTTTTGAACAAACTTTATCTGGTTCGCATACAGTATTTAAAAGCTTATGGAGATATGTTGCGGTTGCTATTAAGACTTAAATAGAAGAAAAAACAAAACAAGAAAGCTGCAAAACCAGAATGGTTATTTCGGTGGTTTTTTAAAACATATCGGGCTGCAAAAACATTTGCTCTCACAATAGCACAAGTGATACTGAAAGAAAATTCTTATAATTATGGGGTTAATTAAATGGTCACCAATTCCTGCGTCACCGCTATTATGACGAACTACAGGAGGCGGTTTTACTGCAGCCGCATCTGAAATATCACACGTCTCTGTCGCACTTTTTGGCTCGCTCTGTGTTGTGACTTCTTTGGTGCTACTGTTAGTGCTCGCTTGTGATGACTTGTCATCGTTTTGATTAGTCTTCAGTGCCCTCAGCTTAAATAAGTTTTCCATTGAATTGAATTATCATATCTCCAACTTCAGATGCTCGAACACAGTATAAAAAAAGTTTCAGATTATCAAGTTGCATAATATTTTACATTGCTTTTTCATGATTCCCATCTTCTATGACTTATCAATAAAAATATCGAAAACGATTCCTACATTTTTTAAAGCGATAAAGAACACAACATTTCCCCCCTGATTTCAATGGATAGTAAACTCCGTGTCATGACTACACAGTTACTGGTTTGTTCAAGTCCACAGCATGATCAACTCAGGGTCACCTAGTCATTTGAATTTCAAATGATTGATTTGTCAACACACGTATCAATGCCAGTTATAACTAAGTAAACTAGCTAATAATATTACTTAATACCTATTGGACACGAGCACTGTAAATTTGACTTCAACAATCGGTCAAACATCAGGATAACTAAGCAAACTTTATGAAATATTTCTGCAGTTCAATTCAAACTCTTTCAAACTTTGGATAAAAGTGAAATATCAATTACAAAAATGACGGTTTCTGGGGCTACCTTGCTTTACGAACGTCACAAGTGTTCCGTTTTTCTATTCTGCATTTTTATTTTCATGACGGAGACATTTTACAACAGCTTCTACAAAATCAGCATTCCTCAACTCGCTAATGTGGAAATTTCTGGAGCCACTTTTGGAAAAATAAACATGTCTCTTTCTTGCTTAAACGTCGTCATCGCTTTACTGCTTTTTCTGGCTTTACTTCCAGAACGCAGAAAATTCCACTTCTGCTTAAGCATTGTTTTACTCGGAATTTCAAGTGCATCTTTTGGTATACTGCTCAAAATGAATCTGTACCCAAAAGCATTAGTGGCCGTCATCATGATAGTACGAACAATTGCTTTGTGTGGAGTTTCTCTGCTATGGACATCAGCAATACCGCTACTTGTTTCCATGTTTCCGGGAAAAACGGGACTGATCTGTGCTCTGAGTGGGTGCACCGCTACTCTTGGTTACGTAAGTGGCTATCAATTCGTTAAAATCATGGATGAAAGCGACGAAAAAGATGAGTTGAGCTACATAACAATGTCATTTACATACTTAGGCTTCATTTTGTGTTTTATTCTTATGCCATTAAGTTTATTCATTTTGCGGCAAAAAACTTGTTTCAAATCCAGCGTGGAAATTGAAAAGAATAGTTTATCCAAGGTAGTTGCCTTCGCAACTCATTCAGGCGTTGCATGTCTCGCACTCAGTACAATATTCATCTCAGTTTCACGAATACAATTTCACGAATACGTCGCAACCAAGTTGCAATACCTCGACATAGCCGAGTTATCCAGAACTTCCCGAGAAATATTTTGGTTTCTTCAAATAGTACAAATCATTGCTTCCATATTATCCGGGATTCTAAGCGACAGAGGCTATGCTTCTATCATCTTCAGTACTGGGAGCTCTCTTGCAATTTTGGGATACTTTATCATGGCAATTCCAGCTCAGATCATCCGGCTCGACAACATTTACTTTGTTTGTCTCCTCGCAGCCGTCGTGACTTTCGGAGTATCGATTTCGTACACGCCTATTTTTCTAATAGTCTACCAGGTGGCACTGAAACAGGACCTAGCAGATGTCGAAATGGCCAAAGAATACTCCATTGTCACTATACTTTTCACCGCCAATTTCGGAGCGCTCATCGGCAAACAGCTCATTTATGATTTCATTCTGCCCATGTTTGGATTTCGAGGAACTTGTGCTCTGTTGGCGTCTCTGTTATTTCTCGCTACATACCTTTCCACCCAATATCTGGCAAAAATTGGATTGATGAGAAACGTCAACAAGTATGAAGAGGGTCTTACTATTGCAATCAAAGGACTTGAAGCGGAGAAAAACTTGGCAATTATGAACCATTTGTTGATTCAAACTAGCGGATACGAGAGCATCGAAAGCTGCACATGAGTAAAACTGACATTAGATTATCAAATATCATTTCATATTTTCAATTCAATTTCGCTTAGCTTTAATGTTCTTTCAACAAAAAGATAACACAAGGTGACCCTAGTGCGAAGGAAGATTTTCAGTTCCGACTACTAATTTAATCCTTATAAAAATTATTCATATAATCAAAGGTATGTTTAATTCAGACCAGACTAGCGGGTAACTTGCATCTTCGGTGCTTCGAACAGATTGATGAACTTGAAAATTGCTTAGATTAAAATTATACACAAAAGGAAGCTGAGCTTCGCACCACTTGCGATACAAATATGAATGACTAAGAAAATCAAATGAAAAAATGCATCCCCTGAGAGTACTCTGACAGCATAATGGGGTTGCTGATTTCAAGTTAAGTGAAAGAAACAAACAAATTCTTGATAAATTTCGCCGCAAATGATTATAGGAAAAATGTAGAGTTGAAGCAGCGCTACACTGCGCTGCCCTCCACCCCCTCCTCCCATGGTGACATCATTACTACAACCATACATTCGAACCTTACAGTTGACCTAGCATTGATAGTTGGCCTTATGCATTGCATTATACGATATAGCTTAACCGTGCATTAATTCTTTCGTTGAACGTGCAAAAATTAATACGTTGAAAAAGCTGGAGAGATAGTTATTCAAATATATAACAGATAGATATGCTATATCTCCAAAAACCCTCCTCCATAAAAAATAAATTCGTCATAAGCCTCATGAAAGGAGATTTAGTTCTCAAGTACAAGAATAATCGGTTGCTGTGCAGGTAGCTATCATGTTCGGATGAAACTTAAAAAAATCAAAATGACAAAATTTGAAGAAAAACAAAACATTCACTTTTAGCAATTTTCCTTTAAATTTTCTTTTTAGAGAAACTCCAATTGAATAAGAAATAAAATGCAAGAAATATGGCTGAAATCAGCGTTACAATTGAGAGTTCAGCCTTCCATCAAATTTCGTGTCAAGGGAAAGAATCAATGAAGGCAAATAAACAGCAAAAATACTGACTTGTTTTTTGAAAATTTCTCATCTTTCAACTAACAAAAAAAACTTGTTGGCCTCGAGAAGCTTTTTGGTTTTCTAAAACAATTTATGATTGGCACTTTTCGATACAATGAACCTAATTTCAGAAAACTAGATCAATAGGTGAAATTATTTCATTGGGAAATCTGTTGATTAAATTCCGTTTTCGAAATTAAAAATCAACCACGTTTTTGTCAACCTTTACACTTTCTCTGTTCGATAGTGGAGTTCGCTTTCCATGTATAGAAGGAAACAAACTAAATTTAAAAAATCAAAAGTCAAACCGCAAAAAATTAAATTTGAAGCTCAAATTTTCCTCAAAAAAAAAAAAAAAAAATCACGACCTAGATAAAAGTCTGATACGTTCATCGACTCTTATTTACAAGCAAAAAGATTTTAGTATGATACCACACTTGAACCCCTCCGAGCTATCCTTGAGTTAGTAAGAAATTGGTTATTTTAATTTAGTTATTTTTGGGGTGAAGGATGCGATTCTGTACAGAATTGATATTGACGACGATATCTAATCTGTCTTGATAACGGAAACGTAACAAACCTTTCTCTTGTACGTAGTCACTATTCTTTGCACTTCCCACAGTTCTTCTTCTACTCCCTGAAACCAACATCAATTAGATATAATTGGCACATTTATCGCGAATTATCGCGAATAATTGGCACATTTATCGCGAAAAAAACTGGTCAGTCAGATCTTACTCCGTTTTTCAGTTTTAGTTCGACAAAATTGACGAAAAGCTACCCCAATTGCAGACTACTCTACAACTATAGTTACCGCTTCATCTTCCATTTTTCACAAAACTCAACTGCCCTTACTAAAATAAAGAAATTTATCTCTTTTTTGTTTCTGTATAAAATCTATTTTTTGATCTTCTTTTCTTAAATCACTTGAATCCGAAACGGAAAACGGTTTTTAAACAGTCGTTTTTAATTTTTTTGAAATCGTCGTTTTTTATCAAACTAGTGTCGTTTTGTCTGCGTGGTGATATAAAACGATCTGAACGAAAAACTGCAACTAAGGCATATTAGACATTTATAGTAAAATAGGCAAATAGGACAACAGTGTTCGCAAAAAAATGAGAAAAAATCATCAAATAAATTTCAAAAAATAACAAAGCAATTGCATAATTTTTGAAGCTTTAGATTCTAAAGAAGGGAAGTTTTAGATTCTAGGAAACTGAAAAAAAACTACCCTTAGTCGAGCAGACCTGCGCTTCAAGACTAAATAAGCTATTGTAAGCCTGCTCGCTTGCTTGATTCGCTCGAATTTAGACTAAAATCAAAAAATTGAAACCTGTTTTCTCTTGATACTGGACCAAGTTTTGAAACTTTTTAAATGTCTTTTGAATCACTACTGAAAAGGTTTCAACATGCTATACCACTCGACCCATTCCGATGATTATATGTGGTATTTGAGATTGCGTGAAAAAAAAGAAAAAAAAACTGAAACACCGCTCATTTGAATTTTTTTAAACGTCGATAAAAACTAAATCCAATTCGATATCTTGATTTGCCTGATGTGAAATTAATTATAAGAAAAATAGGCTGAGCAAAACAGTTTGATTTAAAAAGTTTAAAAAAATTGCCAACAGACGATCAACTTGCTTTTTCAACGTATTAATTTTTGCACGTTCAACGGAAGAATTAATGCACGGTTAAGCTATATCGTATAATGCAATGCATAAGGCCAACTATCAATGCTAGGTCAACTGTAAGGTTCGAATGTATGGTTGTAGTAATGATGTCACCATGGGAGGTGGTGGAGGGCAGCGCAGTGTAGCGCTGCTTCAACTCTACATTTTTCCTATAATCATTTGCAGCAAAACCAAATTCCATTTTGAAGCTAGAAGTCAATCAGGTATTTCCTAATCTTTACATTTCGCTGTTCGATAATGGAGTTGGCCTTTTTTATCCGAAAAATAAACTCTACTTTTAAAAAAATTAAAAGCCAAACCGCGAAAAAAAACCTAATTTGAGCCTGAACAAATTTTAAGAAACTTCCTGAAAACATGAAACAAAAATGATCGCAAACTAAATAAGAGTCTAAATTAGGGTCATCGACTCTTAATTAATAAACCTTTATAATTTTTGCATTAAGTAACAACCTTGACTCCAAGCAGATCTTCCATTTTGTGAAGCATTCTAACTTTAAGCCTTTTTACTTTATGCAGTAAACAACAAGCTTGCCTGCAATCGGATCTTCCATTTTAGTATCTAAGTTGCCCAAGAGATCTTCGTACAGCCGGGGATCTTTTCTCAACATGAAGCATAATAAATTTAAGCCATTTCAACTTCATGTATTAATTAAAAACCTTGTCTGCAAGGGGATCTTCCATTTTAGCAAGTAAGTTGGCCAGAAAATTTTCGTACAGCCGAAAATCTTATATATGAAGCATATTATCTAAGTGTCTAAGTTGCCCAAGATATTTTCTTACAGCCGGGGATCATTTTTCAAAATGAAGCATAGTATCTTTAAGCATTTTTACTTTATGTAATAATTAACAACCTTGCCTGCAATCGGAGCTTCCATTCTAGTATCTAAGTCACCCAAGAGATCTTCGTAATACCCAAGATCTTTTCTCAAAATGAAGCATATTATCAAGCCTTTTTATTTTAAGTATTAATTAACAACCTTGCCTGCAATCGGAGCTTCCATTCTAGTATCTAAGTCGCCCAAGAGATCTTCGTAAAACCCAAGATCTTTTCTCAAAATGAAGCATATTATCAAGCCTTTTTATTTTAAGTATTAATTAACAACCTTGCCTGCAATCGGAGCTTCCATTCTATTATCTAAGTCGCCCAAGAGATCTTCGTAAAACCCAAGATCTTTTCTCAAAATGAAGCATATTATCAAGCCTTTTCATTTTAAGTAGTAATTAACAATCTTGCCTGCAATCGGAGCTTCCATTCTAGTATCTAAGTCGCCCAAGAGATCTTCGTAAAACCCAAGATCTTTTCTCAAAATGAAGCATATTATCAAGCCTTTTTATTTTAAGTATTAATTAACAACCTTGTCTGCAAGTGGATCTTCCATTTTAGTATGAAGGTTGCCCAAGAGATCTTCGTACAGCCGAAGATCTTTTCTCAAGGCTGTCGGACTATCGGGTGGCGACTCCCCGCATGCATTGTTTAGTTTTGCCCCTCCCACAACTCCCGCTCCCTTGGACCGGGTAGATTGATCGGGCGAGGCAGAATCAATTGACCTATTTTCAAATCTACTGAATAATGCATCCGGGTACCTCCTAAACAAATATATTTCATTGAACAAGGTGTGCTATTCGGTACATGTGGGTTCATTTCAAAATCAATGACGATCATCTTCTAGAAACAGAATCAATTACATAAAGCGAAATTAGTTACAATCCTTCATGGGATCCAATGTAATTCAATCATCAGTTTATTAATAAATTAATAGTGGGCGGAACAACAAGAGTACCTGAATCCTGTTCAAATAACACTGCATTCCCGACCATAGTAATAATTAATTTTGAAAAATTTTATAAGGTTTGCAATTCTGATTTTATTCATTTTTTCTCATGTAGCAGGAATGGGTCGAAATTTGATTCAAATTTAAAATATAGCTAACAGACTAATGCAAAAGAGTCAATGAACGCAAGTAACCAAAAATATTTCATGGCGTTTTTGAAACTGACGTTTTCGAACTGTTTGATAGTGGAGTTTGCGTTCCTGTAAACAAAAGTAAGGAACTTAACTTGAAAATAAATGAACAGTCAATCCACGAAAAGTAAATTTGTGCCTTAAAAATTCTACAACCACCACCAACAAAAGAGTCTGAACGAAAAAAAGAAATGACTTTTAAATGTTGAACTCTGTGCTAAAAAAAATTAACACCCGAGCTGAAAATCAGTTTGAAAATCTAAGTTAATCAGGTCGGTTTTTCTCAGTATTGTAAAAACTTATATGAATTATCTTTTTGAAATCCGACTGAAAACGTTTTTTATGATCCATCACAAAAAAGCGAAAATTCGACTATTGGTAGCAAGCTTATTTAATAATTAGACTATAAAATAACTGAGCAAATTATTCGACAAATTTTAGGTGGATTTGGGGGGATTAAAAATCTACAAGAGGACATAAGTATGTTAAGCAACCCAGGATTTGATAGTGATTTAAACTATGCTTTGAATCCTCTAACAAATCGCTTCAAACTGGAAGCTTATCATCCAATACAGAAAATGTACTCTATAACAAATTCCCACCTTGATCACCAAAAACTGTATGTTCCCGCAAAACACTTAGCTGCGAAAATGCAAACCCCCCAGTTGGATAAATATACCGAACAGATCCAACAGAGTCACATTCAAGAAACCCATCAGGTCCCGGAACTTAAAAAAAATACTTAATTTGAAAACGAAAAACCACCAACTTATTTACAGCCCGATTGGAAGGAAATTTGTAAAAATTTATCCTACATTATTACTACAGCTATGTAGCAGAGCTAATATGAAATCGATAATATTTTGATTTTGAAGAGCAAATTTGACTTTGAATAAAAAACGAAAACAAAAAATACACCCTTTTTATGAACCAGTCCTCCCTAATTACGTATACGCGATCAACCATTTCAACTAATCATCTTCAAGACGAAAAAGCATCTTCAAGAAAACGTCAAAAGAATAATAAAGACCAAAAACTCAGCTGAGGGCTGTCACAGAGCTTTTCACTTGGGAAGGGCGTGACCAGGGCGGATTGGAGGGGGGCGGACGCCTCTCTTTCTCAGGGATTCGACCCCCTGCCTACCCAAAGCATCCCCCTTTGTTACTATTTTAAGACTCCAATTTTTGGCTAACTGACTCTAAACTTTTCTAAAAGCGCCTTGGGCGCTAATAGACACTACTTTTGAGGGGGGAGCGCGCACCGAAAAAACACAATTTTTCGGTCAAAATTGTCCATTAAGTGCCTAAAAACGCCTTTTATGGCCTTTTTTTTTCGAAAATTGACCTGTTTTTAAGAACTTGTTTCTTTTTTTTTGGCCAGTGTTTTTAAGAAATATGACCAAAAAGCGTCTTGTTAATGATTTGCGAGAGCACGGAAAATCAATTTGGTCGACCTAAAAATTTTTTTTTTCAGGATCCCCCCTCAAGCAATTCCTATATCGTCCCTGGGTGTACCTACCCCACGCTTCGTAAATTTATTTAATTCTGTGGAAAGAACAAGGCATATCGGAAAATTAGATTGCGTTCATAATCGCTGGAGGAAAAAACTGCTATGTTGACAAAATACGGAAAACCCAATCGCGATTAATTTAGCAGCTAGAGCACTACATTTATAATTTGATTCATTCTTTAACTTAAACTTTCATCTTCTTTTCTTCTCCTCTGATGAAAGTTTTTTGCCGCGGCTTATAATCACCTGCTATAAATGATCCGAGCTATCGCTTGAGACGAATTATTGGCTCACGCTTCCGACTCGCCGAGAGGTTTCGTAAAAACACTCAAGATTAGCAGTACACACTGAATCACGTGCCAAATATCAGCACAGCGGAGCCCCTTACCGGCCCGTATGTTCTTTACTTCATTCCCTATTCCCTTCCAACCGGTTTCTCTCCGAATGTGTAATATGCAACTGTTTAGTTACTTGCATGAATTTTACTACTCACATATTGCTGACATAGATGAGTGGTGATTGCAGTATGCATTTGTTGGACAGGAGGACAGAAGTGAGGAATTGTGTAGAGTGGATTCTGAGAGAGTAAGACAGCAGCTGCACTATATCCGAACCCACCACTCCATTCTCATTGCTCTGCACAAAACCAAAGGCAAACAAAGATAGCCTCATACCGAGCAAATAGCTTTAAATTTTCCCATCCAGTTATTTTCGATGAAAAAAAACTGGAGAAAATATATAATTTTCAATTTAATCATTTTTTGCGCCTGTACGGGGAGAGAGAAAAAACTAGCAAGGTTGAAATTAGCAAGTCGGAGCAAAAATTTCTCATGTCAGTTCATAAGACATTTTCAAAAATTTCTAAATATCGATCGAATCAGAACTAAAAGGGGGGCTTTGCAAAAAACACCCACATACAAAATCCGGCACACTCAGTGATTAAGACGATAACTGCAGACAGAATGAAAAAAAAACTCATATCAATCAAATAAAAAATACCAAAATTGGTTTTCAAATCTCATAAAAAAATGCAATCATGTTCAGTTTATAACCTACCCTAGCTAACACGTTGTGAAAATGTGAGATGATCCAAAGAAACAGAGTTCGGCTTTCATTTGGCTGTTTGTTCAGAAACTTGGTAAGATTGTGGAGCCCTGTTTTGTCGTCAGCTAAAAATGAAGCACCTTCATGAGAGACAACTTCAGATCATATTCAATAACAAAGCAAGCTCCACTAGAGTACTATGGTCTTGTTATTGTTGTTGTGGAATTACAGCAATGCTGAACGGTTGATTAGTCCTATTCGTTATTCGTTAAAATAAAGTCCAGTTAATACGAGTTTTCACAATCACAAAATAATTGCCATGAACAAAAGTTCCGCTCAGAAAAATTTTCTCCGAAGAACTTCCGAATCGTTTTCATTATTTTATTGTTGAGTCCTTTCAAGTCACTAATGTTTATCAACTTTTACAACCGATTTATGATTCGACAAGTTTTGAACACAAATTAGTTTCGACAGTTTGAAAACTTCAGAGGTCCGTTTATCTCGCTTTTGTTGATCTGGCAACGGAATATAGCTGCTGTTTTCGATAAGTATTTTCGAGACTAAAAGGATGTCAATTAGTTGAAAAAATATTGGGAGGGGAAAGATGTTCAAGAGCCGGAGCTGAATTTTGTGGTCAGTCTTTGTTTCTGCTTTTACACTTAACAACCTTCTTTTGGAACCTTTTTCTTTTGGAGTTGATGCTGCAGGTTCAAAGAATGGATTCCTCTACGCGGCTGGACCCCGCATCGCCCAGCTAGGTGGTGTCCAAATTCCATTCATCCTCCACCGGTCTCGTGTCGCGAGCCAAAGAGAGAAAAGGAGCGAGTGTTGCGAGAGAGATAAAGGGAAGGGGAAGAGAAAAGAAGGGAAGACGAAGAAGAAACAGGAGAAAAAACGAAAGAACAAAGAGAAGAAACAAGACGTGTTTTGAGCAATGAGCAGCCAGAATCAGCCTACCTAATCATGTACTTGTTACTGGCTGGACTTCTAGTTCTCACTCTATTATTCCATAGCGGAATCGAACAAAATTTAGGCCCACATAACTGTATTATCTGTCACACCAAATTTATCCCTAGTCAATAGAGTGTCTTGTGCCACTTAGGAGGGTGGATACACTTAAAATGCTCCACACTTGAAAATATCAATCACTGGTCACGCAGTTTTTACTGTGGGAATTGTGACTTCTGCAAAACCAACCCCATCGGCACCCTTAATAAACAAAAACCTCTGCAACCAATACATGAACACCAACTTAGGATACCACAACTATATGCAAATGGCCTTGGACCAAAATTAGATAACATCATCCACCACATGGCTACAACAGACACAAAGGTTGCAGCAATCCCAGAAACTTTCCATACAAATGAATTCAAGCCCTTTAACATCTATATCCCACCACATTCAAGCTGTAGTCCTGGATACACTGCGTCAATCCAACACCTGATAAAGAAAACAGATGCATTAATATTAGGTGATGTCAACGCACATAACTCTCTGTGGTTCTCCCAACTACAACCTGACTCGCGTGGTCTCAAAATTGCAGTTGAAATAGACGCGTCTGATTTTGTTGCTCTAAACGAACACACACCCACAAGGAAAACAAACAACACTAAGTTCACCTGACATTAGCCTTGCAACATCAAACCTGGCCATGTCCACTAATTAGTAATGTGAAAACAGTGGGTTCAGACCATTCAGCCATCACCCTAGAAATAACCCGCGAAATTCAAATCAATAAGGCAACTCAGAAACCACACATTAACATTTTAAAAAATTGACGGGAAAAGCTTCCGTGCTGAAAGCGAAAAAACGTTCCAAAAATTAGCTCTGCCCAAATCCACCAATGAAGGCGAGAAAAATTTCAGGAAAAAAATTGCGGCGCGGCATCTAGACATATACCTCAAGGATGCATCAAAGAGGTGAAGCAGAATTTTCCAACAGTAGCTCTTAAACTCTCAAAAAGGACAATCTGAAACAAACACATCCCGGAGACGCCAAAATCAGTGAACTAAACAGTCAAATCAATAAACTAGTAGAAGATAAAAGAAAATGGATTGAGTTTCTTGACAACGTTGATCATCGAGGGGCAACAAGTAAACTAGGGTCTACGGTTTAAGGTCTGTCTAATACAAATAACAAAACCCCAAGAAACACGCCTGTTATCTTTGAAAACGAGCCCATTCACAACACACAAAAAAAATGCAACAAATTCAATCTAAAGTTCACTCCACATCCAAACAAGAACAAAAAGGAAAAAAGGGCAATTGTTCGCAAAATCAAACAATTAAAATTAAAAGAAGTGAAAATTTCAACTAAACTGGTAGAAAATGCAATTAAGTCTAGTGAGAAAAGCAAAGCGCTAGGACCTAACAACATCGCTCTAATCCATTTACATTTCATTGGAAAACAAGCCATCAAATACCTCAGTAAGTTGATAAGCCTCTCATTGAGAAATGCAACAAAACCCGAAAACTGGCAAATGGGAAGAGTACTACTACTGGCTAAGCTCAGTAAAGACTCCGAACAAGCTAACTACCGACCAATTGCACTGCTCTTTCCAGTGACAAAATTCAGAGCGTTTTCTTTTTCCCGAATTCAATTTATATGTAAATTTTTAGGAACACGGGTTTAGAAAAAAGATCGACAACTACTGCCCTTAATTTTATCTCATTTTACACAAAAGCTGGTTTGAACCAGGCCAAACCGCGTCAAAGAATATTAATGGTCGCCCTCGACTTGACTGCAGCCTTTGATACTATTGACCATCACCATCTGCTCAACAACATCGCCAGCTCGCATCTTTCTAAAAACACCAAAAGATGGATTTGGTAGACATACACGAGGTAGACATACGTATGTAGAATTCACATACACTAAACCCAAACGCAGGAAGGTGAAACAAGGTATTCTACAAGGTTGTGTGCTACCTCCCGTCCTATTTAATCTCTATATGTCAAAAAATGCCTCTACCAGAGAGTGATAACATCAAAGTGACTACTTATGCAGATGACATAACTCTCACAACACCAGAGCCCAATATTGAAACTTAAGCAGAGAACATGAATCCTTACCTTGACAGCCTAAACACCTGACCAACAGGCAGAAATCTTTCATTATCAAAAGATAAGTCCACAACATCAATTTTTTCAACATGAACAAATGAGTAGTAGATGTTGGAGGTGATCAGGGGGGGGGGGGGGGGGGGGGGAGGTGGCGGACCTCCATGTATTAAGATAAGGAATAGAGCATCCGGTCCGCCAGCTATGTATTAAGATTGGGTATAGAGTCTACAATGTATTAAGATTGGGAATACCGATGGTAAGGTTTCAGTGTGATGGTAAGAGAAAGAAAAACGTAATTTTTTTGGTTTTTGAATGGAAAATTCTAATTTTTTCGCAAAAATTTCGGCGCCCGTTACCTAATTGTTAAATATCAAAGTTTAATTACGAGTAGGTTGTGTAATGAAGGGCTTTCAATTAGTTTTTTGATATATGGTAAGTCGATGGTAAGAGTTTTTTGGGTAAGAACTTGGAATTTTTGTGAAAATTTTTTCGAAAAAATTCAAAACATGATAAGATTTTGTTTAACTTGATCTAATAAAAATTTATTCGATACTTTTACTTTCTACCTATCTGAATCTATTCTGAACCTACAGAGACTTCGAAAAAAATAAAGTTTTTTGAGAAAAAAAAAAGTTTAAATTACAAAGAAATTATATAAATCACTGCATCGTATAGTAAACTTACTGCCATAATTTACACTTACAAATGAAAAAACTACAAATTTACATAAAATTACTTATAAAATTCAAAACATGCACATCATGAATATTATTCAAGTTTGTCTGGTAGAATTTAAAAAGAAGAAATGCTGAATAAATTGCGTAAAATCCACACAAATTATCAGTTTTTTGTAGCTTTCGAGGAACCATTCGCCGATACTTTTTTGTTAGAAAGGAATAAGTTGTTCTTTTCCGACCCAAAGAATCAGCAAAATAGTAAGTTTTATCCAATCGAGCCATCATGATCCAGTGCTCCCCTCTATCATTGCTTGGAGCTGAGTTAACAATTGCAAAAGAGTATTTTGTTAGTTGAGGTACTTTATCAGAGGGGTAAGATCCCATGTACTTGAACCTGAGTTCAGGAATTCTTTCAATAATTTGCAGAAGTGAAAAATTATCTATTTTCGCAAATGTTAGCTGATTTACATCTAAAACAAAGAAATAGAAAGTATGATATTGTAATTTAGGATGGAAAATCCTAAAGTTATTGACTTACTCGCATTTAGGTACTGAATCAACAAAGTCCCATACACAAAACTTGTGAACTGGACAAAATTTGTTGAACACTGATTCACAGTCTAGGTTGAAGAAATGTCTTGGGTTTTCAATTAAACAGCATTCATTAGCTGCTATTTCTGGAGATTTAGGCCTGAAGAAAAACAAAATATATAGTACAGAGATAATCACAATGAAAAGTCCCAAAAAAGCTACAATATTTTTATAGGAACCTGAAAACTCAAAAAAACTAAACATTTTTAGCGACTGTTCCGAATTTGTCAATTTGAACATTTGATAGTCTTTCTCCCAAGACTATCACTTCCGTTACTTGCTCCAAGGGAAACTGAAAAAACATTTCTAATCTCAAGCTTTCTCCACTAAGTTCTGGATAATGCAAGTGTTCAGCGGCATCCTGTAGTGAAGTCAAGTCGAAAACTAGAATATAGTGATTTTGAAAATCTTCCATAGGAAGAGCTGGAAAATCTTCGTTAAACTGCATTGCTTTCATTGTTGTAACATAGGGTCGACAAGGAGAAGTTGTATCTAATGAAATAATTGCTCTTCCACCCCGAATAATTCAAGGCTCTCTCAAATGAAATTGTTGATAATTGAAAGGATTTTCATGAAAAGATCCCGCAACAGCCGAATTTGTATTCATTGCAACAGCTATCCTTCTAATTGGGGCATTATTGAAAACATTTTCCTGAATAAACTGGTTTTGACGAGATGGAATGATAAAGGTTCTTGCTATAGTTTCCATGTAATTGTATTGAGCAGGTTCTCTTTCCAGATTCCATTGCAAGTATTGATGATTAGGTTCAGCAACTAAAATTCTTCTAGTAA